TTATTTATTTTTTATTATAATATATATTTATATTTTCATATATATCTCGTTCATTTATATTTATAATTATCTCATATATCGTACAATTAATATGTAGTTTTATTTTTATCGTCTCGGTTTTCAAATACATTGACCACAATAAATGTATTTTCGTTTTTACCTTTATATAGATATATTTCTTTCATTACAAGTTTAATCAATAGTTATATTTCGTTTCCATTCGTAACTAAACTAAACATTTTTTCAATTATATTTATATATATTTTTCAATTGATTTCTTACTAAAATTTTTTTAATGATTTGTTTTAAATGTCAAAATTTTTTCATTTAATATACACTTTATATATATGTATTTGTTTTTGTATATAAAGAGATTATCACTGATTATTAGATAATCCGAGGGAGACGATAAATATAAAACTACATATTAATTGTACGATATATGAGATAATTATAAATATAAATGAACGAGATATATATGAAAATATAAATATATATTATAATAAAAAATAAATAAATAAAACAAATTATAATAAAATATTATTATATAATGAGTTTTACAGTACATTATGTGCCTCTGATTGTAATTTTCACACATTGATTAACGCATTATAATTATTATTATTAAATTTGGTTCATATTATGATTATATTGATATTAGTTATAATCAACACATTATTATTATTATAATTATTATTATATTAATTATTATTATTATATTGAAATAAAACTTGATTTTGAAAATGAATATTACATTTGTTTTAATTATTTGTTCAACAAATCAATATATTTTCCTAAAATCCTTGGTTTGCATTAATTAATGGCTAATAAATATAAACAGCAGTTATAATTATTTAACACAACATGCTAGCTTAAATTAAATTGAACCTTAGAACGCTTAACATAGCTTTAATGAACTATTTACTTTTAATTAGATTACCAACAAAGTGCCATTGTTTCAATTATTATTTTTTAAAAAAATCAATATGCATGTTAATTTTGATATAGTTAATTATTGTGATCAAGGTAAATTAAGGTAGCCCTACATTCATATAGTGTTAATTATTGCAATCTCAATTAATAAAACATGGCTAAGTTGTAATGATTAACTGGAAGTATTTGTAAATTAACATAGTTATTTTAAATATAATAATTTAACAATCAAACAATTGTATTTAAACCAAGTAAACTTGCTTTAAAACAAACATTGTCATAACTTATGACTCATATTCCATTATAACTGAATTAATGGAAAATTTTATGGAAAAAATCAAACATGGTAAATATTATTGTATACTTCAAATAGGTTAAGGCAAACAGAATATCACAGAATCCAAAAGTTTTCAATTCTGTATAATATTATAGCGTAACGGAAGCAGTGCTGCACTCGTGTAGGCATTACTTAAACAGCAACACATAAACAATAAACCCGGTTCTTTGATTAGGTATATGCAGGTTGTGCTCGGTATGGGTAAACATGGTATTTTCCATCGAAAATAACTTGATAAAGAAAATTAATAAATAAACTATATTAAGCCAGCATTTTTGCTAATCATGCTTAATTGAATGCACGTTAGATAGATCAACATAGCGCAATCAATTTTGTGTGTATTATAACGGAGTTTGACTGTGTGTTAACCCATTGAATAGATAGTGTGTGCATTGAATGTGTTGTTTATGTATAATTTAAACCGCGATTACAGAGTGTTTAATACATTAAATAATCCATTAATTAGTGAATCAGTAAATTGTTTGCCGACAACAGGACTGACAGCCCATAGACTGTTACTATGGGTTCCGCTTCCAGACTATTACTACTCCGGAGAGGAGATCACGACTCGAGACTCACCGAAGGTATGGCTGTTGAAAATTTTGTTGACATTTATTTCAAATTTTTTGTTCAATCATGGTCATTTTTAATGGTTTATAGCTAGGTTAATTTGTGTATTAATTTTTAAAATTGTTTACCTGATTTAATTGTGCCGGTTTGTTACAATTGGCTTGAAGTGATGATCATGTTGTTATTGTCTCTGTTGGGAACCTATGTTAATTTTAATAAAATATTATGTTAACTATGTTAATTTGTTTAGTATTGATATAGGTGAATTAATGTACTTAAATCGCATGATTAATATTTAATAAATAGCTTTTTTATATGTGGTTGACATTTAATTGGATTATTTGAAATTGATAATATTTTCACTATATTAATGCAATGATAATTTATACATCTAGGGTACATTGTAATTAATTAGTTAAATTTAAATTATATTATTACGAACCTTAACATAGGGTTAATTAAGTGACACAAATATAATTGCATTGAAATATTAGCCAAACGGGTCGGGAATGGAGGGAACAAAACGGAGAGAAACGTTGTGTTCAAACACTATTGTTACATAATTTTTTGAAACACTTGGTAGAAAAATATTGTTTTTCTCAATTTTAATATTCATTAATGATTAAACCACTCAATATAACCAATAGTAAACATACCTGTATATAGTGTACTGACAATAAAAACCATAATGATATTTATTGGGTTTCAAAAAACTGCACAAAAAAAGTTTCAAAACTTTTATAAATCATTAATTTTATGATAAAAAAATGACTAATACTTCTTGGAATCGGTTCCATATCACACATAGGCTTCGAAGCGCTTCTGGACAAGGAGTTGATGACCGACGTGTCGATCACTTGCGGCCAGAATATAGTGCGGGCGCACCGGACAGTGCTGTCCATCTTCTCGCCATTCTTCCGGCGTGTGTTCGACTCCATACAGAATCCTCTGCACTACCCGTTCGTTGTGCTCAAAGACATGCCGTACGCCGACCTCCGGGCCATCATTGACCTGATGTATAGGGGAGAAGTCACTGTCACTCAGGACCGGTTCCCGTCGCTCAAGAGATCGGCCAAAACGCTGGAAGTGAAAGAGTTGTCAGACATTATCAGTTCCTACGAACTGAAGAACGATATCAAACCCGCGGTCGACGACGAGACGGGTCCGGCGGCGTTGGCGGCGGCCAACACTTCCGGTCGCAATGCCCGCAAACGCGGTCGTCCGCGCCGTTACGACGACTCCCGCGACAATAGCGCCGAAGACGAGGACCTGAAGCCGATATTCACGACACCCGGACCGCCGACCAAACGACAACAGGTGCTGATGTCCAAGAATACGAGTCAGAGTCAGTCGGCGGGTATGACTGCCACTAGTCGTGGCGGACTTTTTGTGAAACAGACCGCATCCAAGTCGACGACACCGCGCGGCGGAGGCGTTGGCGGAACTAATGCCGTGGTCTCCAGAGGTGGCAGCCATTCATATGTGACGTTCACAAAGCCACAGATCGCCACCCGTGGCGGCGGTGTCGCTAAGTCGGCCGGTCCGGCCTCCAGAGGTCGTGGTATTAGATTTGTTCCGCACGACACGGACACCGATCCCAACGACGAAGACTACGACCCGTCGGCCGACTCAGGCGGGGGTTACAAACGCGGGCCGTATGTGAAGAGGGGTCGGCCATCGAAACGACTGTCCAATGATTATCCTTTGGCCAGTAATATGCTCTCGTCGTCGTCTTCATCGGCGGTCTCGTCACCAATGGATCTGCAAAACATATTCCCCGATCAGTCATACATCGCCAGCGCCGCCGATCGGCCAATCAAGATAGAGCTCGACTCGGACTCGGATGTCGAGTGCATACTGTCGGCCACGAGTCCACTGCCCAGCGGTGATCCGGTCGACGATACGCCCGAAGGCGTGCCACAGCCGACACTCGAAGGGGTCGCACAGCCGATACCTGAAGAGGTTGCACAGCCGACGCCAGAAGAACCCAGATTTACGGAACTGTTGCCGACTGAGTCCGCGACTCATGAGTTGACCGCTACTGATGATCAAAATAATCAAATGCTGACCACTTCTGAGCCAACTTTAGACACGTCCGCCGACAGCACTACCGAAATGCCCGCTAATGTGTACATCAAAACCGAAAGGCCAGACACTCCTCCTGTAGACCAGTCTATGGACACATCAGTTGATGAAACACCTGTTACGGAACAGACAGCAGCTGTACAGTCAACAACTGCCGAAGATATTACAGCAAACACTGATCCACAGCCGGTCACCAATCAAACGGCTGGTAATGTAGACACTAATAGTGAACAACAACCGAATGCTGAATTGGCAGCGAGTTCTTCGGCAGAACCAAGCAGTTCCGCATCTCAAGAGATCACTGAATCTGTGGCGACGACCACAACGACCACTAGTTTGGATCCGAATATTGTGGTCAAAACGGAAAGACCAAACTCTCCGTTCGACGACGAGTTACAGACATTCATCAATGAATTGGACGAACAATACGAAGAGCCCATCGCTGATACCACTACTGCGGCCGCTGTCGTCGCCAATGACCAGCAAATAGATAATGCCATTCCTCCACATCAATCAGACACAACTAATGCAACACTAGTGACAGCACAGCCACCGGCGATCACATCCGCTCCAGTGTTGATGACTCGGACGGCGCCCACAATAATCACGTTAAACAATAACCAGACAATTAGCGCACCGATCATCAGGTTTATCAAAACAGAGAGATCTTCATCACCGCCACCATCACAGCCGTCATCACAACCTCCTGTTATCACCACTCAGTCGACGACCACTTTTCAGACACCATCGCAATCGTCCGAAGAGGCAATACTTATTGACGACCAGGAGATGGACACCACCGGCGATACCAATGTATTGGCCGACGCTGTGAACACCGAGAGCTGTAATCGGCCGCCAATTGGTTCCCAAAACACCGATTCACTCATCGATGATATCGATTTGGATCTGGATTTTGCAATGACTGATAGCAATGGGAACAGCTCTGGAGGCGCTTCTGGGGATGGCAACAGCGGTCAGTCATCTACTACTATAGCCAATCATTTCTCATGAGATTTAAATGAGTTTATAAAACCGTAATTAAATGTTCATTAATTATAATTAACTTTATTACTTCAATTCAACACTCATTCATACAATTAATTTTTCCAAAAATTTAATAAAAGTAAAAGTATTTCAAAATCTGGTCTAAAAAATTAATCAAAATAATAATTTGTCTTCAAATGTAAAGGTAATCGTAAACTATAATCAAAATATTAAAAGTTAATTAACTTATACTTTAAATCAGCGAAACTTTTTAAACAGTTTTTATATTAATTTAGAGATAATTAAAGAGAAAAAATCGATTAATTTTAGAGTCCAGAGGAATAAAGACGAGGAGAAAGTCGTGTCCAAAGAGTTGTGTCCTGTAATCCATTAGAGACCACCGACTGTCAGCCCTCCTGAGGGCAGCCCTCCCGATGCGGCGGCAGCTGTGGGCCTATTCTTGACAATCGGGCGGTGATCGGCGCAATCGGGATCTCTTATGTGACACTCCCAGCAGTCGATGCAGAAGTACTTGAAGTCGTCTCTACAAAAGATGGGCGTCTGTTGGGGGCGACGACAGACCGCGCAGACCGACTCGTTCTCGATGTATGGGTCGATTTGGATCTTTTTGCGAAAACGGGCCGCTTTTATCTCCACGAACGCCGCCGACACGGCCTTCAAATAGCTGTCCTGATTGTCGAACGACACCCGCCCGGAGCCGAGCGGGTACTTGTGTTTGTCGGTGTCGAGACCGGCGAACACCACTCCGCCAAACAGGTCGTCCATCACTTTGGCCAACCCCTCGGCGGCGAGCATACCGTGGAGGGCGCCCACGAAGACAGTGCGCGAGTGTTCCATCTGACCCGAGAAGGTGTTCTTCATGTAGAAGCGGTCGCCGATGTCGAATGGGATCACCTGAACCTCTTTGGCCTTCTGGCGCCGCGACGAGACGTTGTAGTAGTAGCGCAAACCCATATCCAGATCCCGGTAACTGATGGTGCAGTGCTTCAGAAGCGCCGCCACGTTGTCGTACGACTCGAAGATCACGTATACATAACCGGCTTTATTACAACCGCCGCCACCGCCGTGTCCTCCCTGAGCGCCGAATCCGTAGTCGTGTCCACCGCCGCCGCCGTTACCGTTGGGCGACTTCACCTCTTTGCCCGGCCATTGGATCTGAATGGGCCCGAAGGGGGCGAAAGTGCAGTGCAGGTCACCGTCGGTCAGGTCGTAGGGAATGCCGCCGAGGAATACTTTGCACGAGTAGATGGGGTTCTTGGAGCGGCGCTTTGGCGGCAACTGTCCCGTCCACGTGTAGGTGGCCGTTGCCGTCATCGACACGCCTAACATCGCTTTCAGGATTCGGTCAATTGCCTCCTTTTCGGCCTTTGATTTGGGATCAAGGAACCGATAGTCGGGTTCCGTGATTCTCGGGATCAGATGATTGGTACGTGTAGACCATGTCGGGTCGCCCAACGGGTCGCTTACGCTGGGAGTGCGGGGGCGGCCAATGGGCCAGTTATGGCCATTGCTGCGGCTGTGGTGTCCGTTGCCGTTCAGCGGTCCCCCGAAAGTGACCGTATCATTGTGATGATACGAATCGGTTCCGCGCCTATCGTTGCCGTTGTAATTGAAGCCATGTGTCCATCGGTGACCATCGATGCTATTACGCCTTTCCCTACCATTACCACCTAAGCCGAAGCCGTAGCCGTAGCCGTAGCTGTCGCCGCCGCCACCACTTCCAACACCAACGCTACCATTTCCAGCGCCAACACTACCACCATCTGCGCCGCCGCTGAACGGACCTAATTGCAAATACTTCATCGCTTCCAACACAAGATTGTAATTTTTGAGATCTGTCAACGAGTATTGGTTTCCAAGAATTGGAGTATTAGATGAGTGGTTAGTCTTAGGGTTATAAATCTTGCCTAATTGCAATCGATGGGAGGAACTCTTGCTGTGCATCACTCCTTCGGGTGCGTAGTCTGAAACCGAACCGCCAGACGAGCCATTGGTCATCGACTTCTTAGGGTACGCACAACTGGTCCCACCGGTGGCGGCGATAGTCTTGCTCTGAAGAGCGAGATCATAGTCTTCGTAATTCGGATTGGGCTCAACGATATCGATGCCATGATTGGTGGCGCCATAGCTGTAAGCGGTTCCGTCAGCTCTGCCATACGTCGCGCCATTCAAGCCATTGGTTCCGCCAGTGATGCCATTGTATCCATTATTGGTGCCATTGATGGCGCCGTTGTGTCCATTGGTGCCAATGATGGCGTCGTTGTGACCATTGGTGCCAATGATGGCGTCGTTGTGACCATTGGTGCCAATGATTGCGTCGTTGTGTCCATCGGTGACCATATCTCTGATCCAATCGAAGTATTGGTCATTCGGTTCGGTTATTGCGTTGTTATTGTGATCCGAATGTCTGGCCAACGGTTCCGCGTTATTATTGGTGTCTCTGTCCGAACGGTTACCAATGATTGGCCGACCCATCGATGGTCTTCTAACTGATCCGTTAGACATCTTATTCTCTAATTATTCGCTAAGACTTCGAATAAAACGATAAAATTGTGTTAAAAATTGATCGAAAACGCCTCAAAAGGATCTAATCTTGAGATCAAACTTGAGTTTTGAATCAAAAACTAAATTATAAACTAAAACAGTGTTTAAATTAAAAGATTGATTCAATAAATGGTCACAAAAAACAATTCAATTATCTCTTCGACAGATAATGTGTTTGAAGTGTGAATTCAAACGACGTTTCGATCAATAGTAGTGAACGCGAAGTGAGAGTCGGTCTTAAATACGATCCCCTTATATGGCGACAGCCAATAGCCTATTGTGTATATCTGTTATAATGAACTCTTCTATTAGTGTACAACTCATCGGACGGTTAGTTTTTAGCACTCGTGATGTCCGTCAAATGCCCTTGGTTATTGTTTTTTCCAATAGTGTTCATGATCATTCAGTGGGAATTTTTTTTATTGTACTTTAATTGTTAGGTATAGGAGGTGTCTACCAGTGTATCCAATGTGGATACTCACCAATTAGGGTGATTTTTATGTGTGTTTTGTGTATTCCTATCGCCAGTAGTGAACATGATGAATAGTGAACTCTGTTTATACACGTGTATATGTGTTTAGCCATAGGTCGTTATGTTTATTATGTACTTTGAAGTGCCAATTGGTTTATTAGTACACTATTGAGATGTACACCTCGTCCAATTTTGTACCCCTGTTTGTCATCTGGGTTAATTATGGCAGTGAATATGAAGGTTATATTGACTTAAATGTTAATATTCTGGTGATTTTGAGTTTGTATCGAGAGTTCTGGGAATTATGCGAAATACTAATTGTTTTGCAATGGTTTTTGTGCTGGACTTTAATTTTTAAAAACATTTTTACACTTTTAGTCCTAATGTAAAATTCCTATACTTTTTTTTATACAATTGCTATTAAATTCAATGTGTTTTTATAGCCCAGACATACACTCATTGACTCTCACTTTCATATCATTTTTATCCCCACTTATAGCCAAACAAATGACTGTTTTTTAATTATTTTAATTTATATTTTCCATTACATAAATACAATAAAAACTTATAATTTATATCTACTCTAAAATTAAAGTATAAAAACATTATTTTCAGTAGTGTTTCACGCATTTTATGTGCCGTAAAGTCTATGTAATTGTAGAGATATATTACAGCGAAAAACTAAAATATTAATAATAAAAATATAGCAAAAAATATTGTATTTTTGTTTCGCAAAACTCAATATAGTTTAATACCGGGGAAGAGCCTTAAGGGTGACGCCTTTCCGATGGGTATTTAGTATATAAAGTGCTGATTAAAGCCATACATACTGTATATCCGATACCCGATTGTCCATACATTGGGATAAATAAAGAGGACATTCACTAAAATCATTTTGTATTATAGTTTAGTTTGTATTTTTTTGCTGATTTTTAGTTTAATTTTTGGGTCAATATTTTGCATTTATATTATGGGAAAAGTACTGTCAATATATGTTGTGTGTATTTTTCGGCACTCATTTCGCCAACAAATTAATTGATTTTATGTTTAATTTTATGTTTCTTTGCTTTCCTATCGACTTATTTATACACTAATATCCGATTTACTGCATAATAATAAGTTGTAATATAGTTATTATTGTAATACCATGTGAAAAGTGTGTAAATAAGGTATTATGTTATCGTATTTTGTATCAAATCTCCAGAATATTCTTGACTTGTGCTAAATGTCATTCACATGAGAGTGAAGTTTTGGTATTAAGTTTTGTTTTGTTTGTTTGTTTGCCTAATGTATTGAAAACTCAACGAAACATTTGGTGAGTTTGTGTTTGTTATATAAACTGCTAATGATTTTTGTGTTTTATTTAACGCCAAATAAGTTTATGTATGAAATCGTTTTTGTTTTAATTAAATAAATTTTTATTAATTTTATAGCTGTTTATGTGAATTATAAATTTAGTTTTAAATTATATCATTTAATTGCCTAAATATTTATTAGATTACAAAATTAGATGCGTTGAGAGCTCTTTATTTCAGTTAGATTTTTGAGCCCAGAATCGTATGTAACGAGCGTTAGGCCACAGAATAGGGCCAGAATCTGGACACAGGTGATTTTGTTTTTGATAGTTCCCTTATCTGTATACTCTGTAAAAATTAAACAGGTGAAAACAAACATTAAATCAAAATGATGCCAATGTTTAGTGAACTAACTTATGAACAAATACACAGTGATGGCCAACCAGACAAATATCATGGCACAGGTGGCCACAAACGCCATTACCTTCAACATGCCCTCGAGGTTGAGGTAAAGTACGCTGAGTCCGGCCGACACCACCACCAAACTGACCGCCGAGCCGATGATCTCACTGGTCTCGGATTCAAAGGATGAATAGATCCTATTATTAGATTTGTCCGTTTCGTTGAGTTGATTGAACGAGATATTCTGTACGGTTAGGGCGATAATACACGAGCTAATTATTACCGTCAGTTTGAACGAGGTTTGACTTTCAAACATTTTGTTTGTGTTATTTTTTTGTGAATAGTTTGCAGAATATTTGCGGAATTTATTGATTATTATTATTGATTACACAATAGAAGTGATGACTATATTATGGGCGAAATTGAGTGTAATTTTTATTTGAAATTTTTTTTACTGAAAAGCCGTTGAATTATTTTATTGTATAGCTTTTTACGCTTGAATTTGTCGATAAGTATTATACAATATTTGATAAGTATTGTTGTCATTAATGCCAGTAATGGTATAGCGTTTGAATTACACTCACAATTGAGTTTGCAATTTATATTTATTGTTTGCTCGCATTTAATGGCAAATTGTTATTACAATTTTGTGTCATTAATATATATCCAGTAATAATTTAGTATTGATTAATAATTTATTTTTCATTTCCCAATACGAGAGCGAAAACTGTTTGTCGCAGAGATTTATGCGTTAAAAAGGGCTGAAAATTGATTTTTTGGGACCAGAAAAATGTTATCATTAATATTTAGTAAAAAAGGGTTTTTTGATAATTAGTTTTTGATGATTTGCCCGAAAGTGAAAAACTAATTGAAATAAATGCGAGTTTTATTTTCTCTTTGAGATCACAATTATGTTAAAAGTTTTTTATTTAATTAAATGAAAACTATTTGAAAATATGTTTTTTTTTCTCCAAAGGGATTAACAATAATATTATTAAAAGTTTTCATAACTATAAAATTTTTGATGAAATATGTGTTTTTGTATTTTTCTATTAAAAATGTACATTTTCTTTATTATATCGTTAATTAGTAGTCAAGTGCTAACTCCCGGTTCTCTACATAAGAGTTAACATTAAAATACTAAAACAATTTTAAATAATAAATAACACAATCCATTAAAGCAATCAAATTATAAATACGAGACAATATTGTGTTGTTTAGTAGTTGTTGTGTTATATTGTTCGCTCTCATACTCTCTTTATTTGTTGTTTTCTGCCATTAATTATGATTTTTGGTCTTAAATTTCTAATTAAACTCATGGGCTTTTGCTAATGAAATTGATATGCAATCCATTGTGTAATATTAATACATAAACTGCTGAATTAATGTAATTACATAATTAAATAAACTAATCATTTAAGTATTTTGTTTGTATTTTGTAATCAACACACAGAATATTCTTGTTGAAAGAATCGTGAAATAGAGAGAGAGAGAGAGAGAGAGAGAGAGAGAGAGAGAGAGAGAGAGAGAGCACTCAAAATATATTGTCCAAAGCATATATCCCATAGTAAATACTTATTATTGATGGGTCTTTTGATATAACGCTTCACACTTTAATATCGTATACCGTTGTATAAAAATAAAGATATGAAAGAGAATTGAAAATAACGAAAAAATATATATATAAATTTTGATATAATTTAAAAATATTGCTTAAAGAGATCAGTAAACAGTTGCTATGCGTGTGTGTATTGAATAGTGTATATCCGAAATAACATAAGTTTATTTGATCGATCAACTAAATTATATACACCATTCTCTCTCTCTCTCTCTCTCTCTC